GAAGCCATGGCGGAATTTAGTGGGACTCACATCCTCTTCAAGAAGAAACCACGCCGCTCATGGCGACTTACCGAAGACGGGTGGTATACCCGTGAGCCACCAGCGCCTCCAGTGCCACCGGATCCCCCTGCACCCCCTGCTCCTCCTGCTCCCCCTGCACCCCCTGCTCCACCCGCTTCTCCCGCACCTCCCGCTCCTCCGAATCCGCCTGCTTTTGCTACGGCAGGTGCTCACCAACGGCCCGTGCTCCAACTGTATTTACCAGCCACGTTCGACGAATGGTTGGCTGAAGCGGACACACCCAAGGCCCGCGATGCACGCATCCAAGCTCCAACGACTGCACCACGGTGGGGACAACCAGAAGCCTGCGCGTGGGATGAGTCGGCTGTGGGCGCCGACGATGATGTGGCTACCGACAAACATGACAGCGGCGCCGGCGAAGCTGGAGGCGACGGTGAAGCTGGTGGCGACGGTGCAGCGGGCGACGAGGAAGACGTGTTCCCCGACCGTGACGAGGACGAGGACGGTGTGGAGTCCTGGTGGCGCGACGCACCACGCGCGAAGATGCCGGTACCGACGTATCCGCCCCTTAACAAAAAACGCCCCCACCCGTCTACCGAGAATCGAAATGCCCGCCCCCCCTCCCCCAGGCACAAGCTGAATCAACATAAGCGGCAGTCCTACACCGCCCAGGAGAAGTTGAGGTGGCTCGTGCGGCTCGAGCTTGCGGCTTCGGTGAGCGAAGTGGCGCGGGAGTCAGGCATACACCGAAAATGTCTGACAGAATGGAAAGCCCAAGCGGAGGCGCTCAAGGCTGCACACGGAGCACGGATGCGACTTCACGGGCGCGGGAGGTCGTCTTGGTACCGCCCCATGGAGTTAAAGGTGTACGCGCAACTCCTCGACTGGCGACGCCGCGGAGTTGCGGTTTCGGTCGGCCGGCTGCAAGAGTGGTCCAAAGAAGTGATGAAGGTTCTATACCCTGACGTCAAGTGGAAAGGCAGTCAGCGGTGGACGGAGCGGTTCCGCATGCGGTGGAACCTCAGCGTGCGCATGAAAACAAAGGTGGCACAGAAAACACAGGAGCGTAAGTGGGTCGTTTACCACTGATTTTGGTGGGTACCCGATTACGCTTAGTTTTATTTTCGCATGTCTCCTGTGCGTCATACTAATTTGGTTTACTATTTGTACCTTTCTCCCTGTTCCGCAGACGTGGCTGAGCAGTGCTAGGAGTTTTGGCAGTACGTACGTGACGCCCGGCACGAATACGACATTGAGAACCGCTACATCATCAACGCCGACCAGACACCGCTGTGGTTGGAGATGCCGGCGACGACCACCGTGGAGCAGACGGGCGTGAGGTCGGTGCCCATTCGCAGCGGTGGGTACCAGAAGGAGAGAGTGACCGTCATGCTTGCGTGCACGACGACGGGCGAGAAGCTGAAGCCGTGGGTGTTTTTCAAGCGCAAGACACTCCCCAAGGGTGACTTCCCGAACGGTAAGTGATCGTCCACCGTGTTTATTCCCGTTACTACCTGAGTCGTTAACCGTTCTTTTTCGTTGCGTGCAGATGTTGTGGTCGGCTGCCAAGCGAACGGGTGGATGGAGGCCGCAGGCGTCATCGAGTGGCTCAACACGGGCGTGGTGCCGTTCCTGAAGCCAAAATTCGGCCTGCAGAGTCGTAGCGCCATGCTGGTGCTCGACTCGTATCGCGGTCACCTGACACCAGAAGTCAAGGCGAGATTCGCGGCGCTCAACATCGTGCCTGCTATCATTCCGGCGGGTTGCGCGGCAGACCTGTAGCCCCTCGATGTGTCGATCAACAAAAGCTTCAAAGCAAGCATTCGTCAGCAGTACCAGAATTGGTTTGAGGACGACGGCATGAACATCCTGACCCCGGCAGGTGAGTGACGGCATGTGCTCCCGTCTGCAAATCTTGAGCTTGAATGCATGTTTACTTGTCTCATGTTTTCCCCGCCCCACTCCGTGTGATGCAGGGAACATCAAGAAACCACCTCCGGAGGTGGTGCTCAAGTGGATTTCACGGGCCTGGAAGGCGGTGCCCGCCAACCTCATCAAGAAAGCCTTCCTCACTTGCGGCATCAGCAACGCCCTTGATGGGAGCGAAGACAAACTGGTGCTGGCGCACCAAAGGTGCCAGTTGTCCCATGAGGTGGAGGTGGACGACGACATCCAGGCAGATGGGTTCTGGGGCAACAACTCCACGGAGCCTGAGTCGGACCAGGAGGAAGAATAGGCAGTAGGGTAGACTAGGCAGGTTGAAAGGTGTAGTGCAGGACAGCAGAGACCACCCTTGTATATGATTGTCATACTTAATGGAAAGTTTAGAACATGTAGGCTAGGTAGGTTAAAAAAAATGAAATTCTTTTTTTTTTTAACTAAAAGGGTGCGCTTATAATAAGTCAAGAATTCCAAAGGGGTGCGCTTATAATTGAGGATCGGCGATAAGCGCATTGCTCCAGATACAATCGCATGCGCTTAACATAGGCCTGCGCTTCTATCCGGGGCCATACGGTACATCACCCTTCTTACCTTCAATCGTATTTTGTTGGAGAGCAGTGCCCACAATTTTAATGACAACCCAGCTACTCTCCTCTCACCACTTCCAAATTTCAAGAATTTGGACATTGAGAAAGCTTGCTTTCTTGTCCTTATAATTTGGCATCGTTCTCATTGCAACTGGCTTATTACAACATATGCATCGTTCGTAAACACATGCTAGTACATGCAAATATTACTAGCTATGGAGTCGTCCGTCCAAGCAGCTGTGGTCTTGTAGTTGGTCCGGGGTGGGTGGTGGGGATGTTGATTGAGCCGTTGGAAAACGAGAAACGTGGGTGGAGGGAATGAACTCCAACCCACGGTTTTTGTAGTTGGAGAAGGGCGTTTAGCGCGCTTCGACGCTGCCAAATATTCGGTACAGTCAGCTTCGCTTTCACAATACACAATTTTGAAAAACATCAATGTGTTTAAAAATTATAATAATACTTGCTTCCATATCGTGTGTTAGATGGTTTATCTGTGCAGTGATATGCTAATAAAATCAGTGCCCTGCAGTATCATTGAACAAGTGGCATATCAGCACCTGCCTGCTTGCAGACACTAGCAGTTTACCCTACATTATCAAGTCAAGAAAGACTCTAAACTACACATAAATGAATTTTTTTGAAAGTGTGAAACACTTTCTAAAAATAAAGATTGTGAAAGCGAAGCTGATTGTAGTGAAGCAAGGCAAGCGCGAATGCTTGTTCCCAAGTACATAACGAGGGTTGGAGGCCATTTGGCCTCCACCCACGTCTTCATTTCGGAACTTTTCAGTTCCGCTTCCCCCCCGCCCGCCCCTAGCTTCTCTGTGTGTAATGTTTAAGTTGGACGCGAATGTTGTAATTACCCAATTAAAATGAAGCACGTTGCATTGCAATAACCAGAAAGCAAGCTTTCTCAATTGGCATCAAACCACATCAACTGGCACCTGATTAATCATCTCTGCCGCACAAACCCCATTCATGAGATGCAACCAGGGCCTACATTATCAGATTTTTTTGGTCTGTTTGTCTGGACTCCAGACACGTTTTTTATGGTTCATCTGATGGCCTAGACATGTCGTCTAAACTCATCTGATTTTTTAGACAATGTTTTTGTATTTATCTGAATTCTTAGACATCCTGATACAGTTCGTCTGAGACTGCAGATATCGAGTCTTTTCTCGTCTGAAGGCAAAACTTTCGCGGACCTCAAGGATGAGTACACCTACCTAATGAATCAGGCGACAAAATTTGAACCCGACACATCAGTCTTCACGAGTCTCTTTTCTACTGACTAGACCAATATTCGTGATACTTGCAGCATCCGATTACTTGATAAAAAACATTTCTTGCCAACTATATATCCTCATCTGAAGTTTTAGACAAGTACTTAGGATTCGTCTGAAAAGCTAGACACTGTTTCAGCTTTCGTCTGACAATCTGACAAGGAGCCAGGACCCGCTCTTTAAGCCAGACGGGTCATTTTACTAAAGTTAGCCCTGGATGCAACGCAGAGTAGACATGTTCTAGGGCAATTAGCACACAACCACATCACGTAACACCCGGTTGATCATCTTTGCCGCACACATCCAACAGTATCCCTGATGCTCAAGCTGCGTAGGCAAAGCGCAGACATATTCTACGGCAATTAACACACAACCACATTAGCTGACACCTTGGCGATACCAGTAGCAGCCGCACTGAAGCGCCCACCTTAACACTCTTTGTCGCCTCTGACTTCAACCTCTCATCACATGGTAAACCGCCCTTTCTAATGACGTTCCTCTCCACCCCTTGCTTATCCATCTCATCACAACCAGCCATTCAACCCCCCTCATATTCAACCCCCAGCTAACCCCCTCCACTCCATCCACACAAAGACCTCATACACAATCACAACGCCCCTCTCAACCTCCAACATTACTCACTCTCAATCAACCACATTTAATTAGTCACTCCATTCCCCCACTTGCCCCCCACTATAATAAAACTTACCATACCAATACCAGCTTTCTCCGAAAGCACCATCAATCCCCCCTCAACACCCATTTCGCCCTTAAACATTATCAAATCCCCCTCACATTATTTCCTCCTAAAGTACCCCGACTAACCTCCCTCATTAGTATCATCATAACCCCCTTCCTTAACTTTCCCTCTTCTCCCCATCCCATTTGAGGCAACTCACAGGATTCGGCTTGTCGACCAACAAGAAATGGGCGGTGTCGATTAGTCACCTCCCTCCTCAACTCAGATCTCTTCCATCCGCCTTTCTCCTTCTCCCACCAAGCCCACTCTACCGAGGGTTACCTCCCTCTCAGCCCACAATATCCAGGGGTGACCTCCCTTGTAGCCCGCCCTATTTATTGCTCTCCCCTCTCTGGGCCCGCGGCAACTCCACCAGAGATTTGGCCCGCTCCTTGATCTCGCACCCAAAGTGCCATTCTGTGTCCCAGCTTACTCAGAATCCTCCTCCCCCTGCATCTGAAGAAGCTCAACTAAAGCCTTGGCCTTGCTCTTACATCTGGAAGACCCATTCCGAGTCAACTCGCGCAACACCTCCATCATTCCCTCCCCCTGCATGCCCCTGCAGCAATCCGGCTCGCTATTCGCCAGCATAAGCAGAGTCATCACCGCATCTTCCTTCGCTCTCTGTGAACCGCCTTCCACCACTGCAACCAACGCCGGAACCGCACCGTTTATCCTCAGCACCGCTTCACACCCCTCCTGAAGCCTGCACAGGTTCGCCAGCACAGCCATGGCTTTTTCTTCCAGCCCAACTTCCGAGCACCCCAGCAGCCCAAGCAAAACTTTCACCGCATCTGCTCGGACGATTTCCAGCCGGCTCTGCGGGTCTCTAGATAGGTTGAAAAGAACCAACGCCGCGTCTTTCTTTCCGCGCGTGCTGCCCATGCGCAACACGCCGACCAATGGCAGGATCGCTCCCGCTTTCCGAACCAGCGTCTGATTCGCCTCATCCACCGATAGCGCGAAAAGGGCAGCCGCCGCGTTTTCCCGGGCAGCCGGGCTGCCCGAGCGAAGAACATCCGTGATAGCCGCAATCCCCCCAACTGACGCTATAATAGCAGGCGCCCCAGCAACTAGAGAGAGATTCAGCAGAGCAGTTACAGCCTGGTCTTTTCCAGCAGGGCTGTTTCGTTGCAGAAAAGCCACCAAGGGTGGTATACCACCGGCAGCGATCAGCTTTGCTTTGTTTTCCTTATTGGCTTTTAGCAAAGCGCGCACGGTGGTTACTGCTTCCACCTTCTCGGCGTCAGAGTCGGAAGATAGAGCCTCGACGAGGGCAGGCAGATCAGCAGCAGCTGCTGCAGCGGCAGCAGCAGAGGAAGAGTGGTGGTGGGATTTAAGTTCAAGGTCGCTTCCGCTGCTAGAGTGACTCACGCTGTGCGTTTTCCTGTGGCTGCTGCTGCTGCTGTGGCTGCCGCTGCTGCGGCTGTGATGAGTGCTGTGACTGCCACTGCTGCTGCTGTGGTGGCTGCTGCTGTGGTGACCACTGCCGCTGCTGCTGTTGCCATGCCCCCCACTACTGTGAGACGTGGTACCAATGTGGCTGCTGCTTCGGTTGTGACTGCCAGCACTGCTATGAGGACGAGTGGGTCTATGCCCTTCCCTATGCCCTTCCCTATGCCCCTCCCTGTGCCCCTCCCTGTGCCCATCCCTATGCCCATCATTTTGCCCCTCCCTATGCCCATCCCTATGCTCCTCCCTGAGCCTCTCCTTGCTTCCGTCCCTGTGCCCATCCCGTGCCCCATACCCCTCTCTCTCCCTCTGCGCCCTGTCATATTCGATCTTCTTATTGGCTGGCATGGATGATGTCCTGTGCAAGCCCCCGCCCCCTCCGCCCCCCCCTCCTCCACCCACTCCCCCCTTTCCTCCTCCCCCTGTTCCGCCTAGCCGCCCTCCTTCTCCTCCCCGCCTTTCTCCCTCCCCTCCCCTTCTTCCACTATCCAACCCCCCTCCCCTGCTTCCACTTTCCCCAACCCCCCCACGCCCCCCTCCCCCATCCTCCCTCCCCCTATCCCTCTCCCTCTCTCTCCCACCCTCCCCTCTCCCTTCCCCCCGTCCTCCCCTCCCACTCCCCCGCGCACCATCCCCCTCCCCCTCACTCCCATCCAGCGCCCCCCACTTCCTTATATCCGCTGACGTCAGCCCCGGCTGGACTGACGTAGCCCTTCTCAGCCCTCCCCCTCCTCCTCCTCTCGCTCCGAACCCCCCACTACTCGGCCTCAACCCCCCTCCTCCTCCCAACCCTCCAAACCTGGTAGGAGGGGTCTTAGGACGGAGGCTCAAATCCTCCACTAAGTCTTTCCCAGAGGCGAAAGTGACCCCTCTGGTGCCTCTAGGACTCTTAGAAAGGGAGAGAGACGAGGGGAACTGCCTGCGGGCTGGACTGTCTGAGTCTGCTTTGCTGCTGGTGGTGGCGCTGCTGCTTCTGGGAATGTCCAGGTTGGTGTTGGTGCTGCTTTTGTTTTCGGCATGGCTGACTGAAAACGAAAACGGCTCGTTATTGTCACGCTCGCCAGAGGAACCCGTTCTCTTGTGCGCTCCCCCTCCTGCTGCTCCTCCCTCCCCGCCCCCCTTACCACCACCACCCCCCAAGTCACCACCAGCAGCAGCAGCACCACCGCCGCCACTAGCTTTCAACTCCTTCACAAAATCATGGAACGAAAACGACTCTTCCGAATCCCCACCTCTTCCCCCCCCCGCCTCCCCCCAAGCCTCCCCCCAACCCTCCGCCTCCCCCGCCTCTCAGCCCCCCCGAGCTCCCCGGCCTATCCTTTGCCCCTACAGGCACGAGAGACGATGCTCTGCGAAGGCTGGAAAGCGGCCTTGATTTTCCAGAAAGTACCACGCCGCCCACCCCAGGAACGCCCGCTACAGCCGCTCCCCCCGTTAGAGGCACAACTGGGAGCCCCGCCAACGCGCCGCCGCCCTTTTCTAGCACTCCGCCGCCCCCGCCGCCGCTGGAGGAGTCGTGGAGCGAAACGGAATGGCCGCGTCTGTGGGACTGAGACAGGTCGAAGCTCTGTTTTCCTTCCTGGCCGAGGGAGCTTTTAAGAGGGCTCATGGGCGGTTGACCACCGGCGGAAAGCGAGTGCGGAACCCTCCCGCTCTCGCCTGCGCCCTTCCTCGCCCCTTTCTCCTCGTCCACCTCTTCTAGCGCGCCAAAGAACGAGTCGCGCGCGATCTTGCGCGAGTTGCGGGGCTGCAGGGATCCGCTCCGCAGAAGCCCCATTCCGCTCCGCCGCCCCACGCTTCCCCCGATCGGCACCCTGTTTCCGCCGAGTCCGCGGAAGGGGTCTCCACCCGCTCCCCCTCCCCCGGCTCCCAACCTGGAAACTCCCCCTCCGGCCGCGCCCCTGCTTCCCCCGATCTCGAACTCTCCGCTGCTAGGGTTGCTTCCCCCGCCACCCGCTAAATTAGATAAATGAGATAAATTCCTGCCCCCGCTAGTAGAACTCCTGTCATACTCACCACTCCTCCTCCCGCCCCGCTCTTCCCGCTCGGACAAATATTCCTTCTCGAGACGAAACTCCCCGCTATTGCGACGCTCGTTAGAAGAACGGTCGCGATCGTCATCGGAGCGGAAATTCCGCTCATCCCGATCGCTATCCCTGTGCCTGTCCCGATCCCCATCCCGGTCCTCACCCCCCCCACGCCTCCCGTCGGAATCTTTTTCTCCTGCCCGCTTCTCCCCCAGCATCTCCTCAACCGCCTCGTGGAACGCGTCTTTTCGTCCGCTGCCAGCGCGGCTGCCCGAAGCGGACATATTCTGCACCTGAACCGAGGTTGATCGGCGCATTGCGCTCCCCATCTTCCGCCCAAGGCTTCCGCCCGCCATCACCCCCGCGCCCCCCAAGTTAAGCCGGCGGTTCACGATTCCGCCGTTTCTTCCCATCTCGCCGTCCTGCCGTCCGCGCTCTTCCGGATCTCCCCCCTCCCGCCGCCCTCCGGAGAGCTCGTTCCTGCTTCCGCTCCGCCCGGAATCCCTTCCCCCTTCCCCGCTTCCGCGCAAGCCGCCGCTTCCGCCTCCGCTGTGGCCCCCGTCAAGCGGATCCGCAGCTCGGCGCAACCCGAGGGACTTCTCCCCGCCTGCGCCAAACCCCCTTCCGCCGCCTCCCCCTTCTCCGCCTCCCCCTTTCCCCTCGCCCTCCGCCCCCTCCGTCTCTTTAAGCGCGCGGAGAAACGCCCCCATCGCACCGGCCTTGGGCTGCAGCGACTGCGATCGGGAGATCTTGACCGTCCGTGTGGCACCGCTCAGTAGCGCATTCGCGCCGCCGCCTCGCAAGCCACCCGCAAGTCCCGGCGGCGTTCGCGGAGGCTCCGCGTATCCGCGGCCGCCAATGGCGCCGTTTCCGCCGCTAAGTTTGGGCGTAGACGCTTGGGCTCGCTGCAGTTCCTGACGGAAACGGATAACCTCGTCCATGTGCTCGGCTGACGTTGACGGCAGAACGCCATTGTGGCCGTCAGGTCCTGCACCGCTGCCGGCAGTTTTACCGGTAGGGCTTGACGGATCGATCTGGGTTACAATCAATCCAGGAGCGAGGTGTAACCTGTTCGCGTCGCACCAATCAGAAGTCAGCTGACGCAGCGCCTGGTTAGGGAAGAGACGCATGTGCTCTTGGTGTTTCCCCGTTATAGGGCAGACTCGTTTGCCCTGTTGAAACCATTTGTCAATGGCGCTGCGTTCGAAGGTCTGACCCGACCCGATAATAACAGGATCCGATAAGAGCTGGTGCGATAGCGGGCAGATGAACTCCGGTGGGACTACAGGATGCTTGCCATCGTGGTTAGGAACTACTAGCCGGTATGCTGCCGTTTCTGACATGACTGTTTGCGACCCTAAACGTCAGCGCTGGGCTGAAGTTAAGGTACAAATTAACGATAATCTCCTCAAGTCAAAAGGTACCGTGGGAAAATAAGTTAGTTAGAATGTATCAAAGATCCAGACGGAACAGCTACCTTTTGAGAAGCTAAGCTCACCTTGACGACATGGATCAATTGCGTTCACTTATCCAGCCTACGTCACTCCAGCCTGTAACGACTTCCCTAGCATGAACTCAATTCCGCCTTCTCTCCAGGCTGTCTCATCCCGCAAAAACCTTGTGCCGGCAAACGAAAGGGCACCGGCGTTGCCCTAATTTCAAAACACCAAAGGTCAATTAGCAGACAGCGTTTTCAACGAACTGGAATAGCTGCACTACGAAGACGCAAGGAGGCCCACGAGCAGCAGGCAGCAGGCAGCAGCCATGGAAATGATAACAGCAGTACAGTCTGCACAATGAGGAAAGGCAACTCTTGATTGAAAGCCAAAACAGAACGACAGTTACTGCAGGTGGAATGGTGAAAGCGTGCCGCAAAGTTTATTACCGTACAGAAAAACACATTTCACACAAATCATCGTTTTGTACCGCAAATAATCTCATTGAGGGCATCCCAACAAACTCGTGGCAAATGCCCTGTGGAACAACACAGCGCTTCTTTCGGCTAGAGAACATCGGGCGGCAAGTTTCTTGTGAGCGACTTGGGCGACGGTTTCGTGTGAGGAGCTGATGTGCGACTTGACGAAATCCCATCCGCCAATCAATGGCGCTGACGGGCTACATCGAGAGACAGTTTGACTGTATCAGTCGGTGGACGACGACTGGGTGCGGAGCTGAAAACGGGGGGGCAGCGCCGATGATCGGTCTGCCAATCAAACCAGCAACTCTGCTGAATGTAGAAGATTCCGTGTAGACCCTCGATCATTATTCAAATTAGTGATACAGCATAGTAGTGAGACAACATACTTAGGGCGACATCAGGTTGTACAACCTCCTGTACGCTTACTGCGGTTAGCTTTGTTTCAACAAGGTGCAGAGCGGTACGAGGTGAGAACCGCTTTTCACCGTGCTGGACCATCCTGAACCACAAAACAAGAACTGTAAGCGCGTGAGAATTGTATAACCTGACTTCGCCCTTAGCATGTAACCATGGTTTTCATTATATGCTCAAGCGAGCAGGTGGCCTCAGCCACTGCTGAATGGGTCCTACCAGTTTCTCTTTCTTCAACTGAACATGCGTTAGCCTCTCAACATACTCCATCCTCTTACTTCTCAACCTTACCAGTTTCTCCTCAATATGAGCAAGCTTTACTCTTAGCCTCTCCTCCTCACTAGGCCCATTGACTTCCACATTCCCATTGTTTTCACACTTGAAGTCACAGCAACCCCCCTCGTCACCGCTGAAGTCCTCATGCTCGACGTTGTCAGTGAAACAAGCACCTTCAACCCCCGCCACTACATAATCATCATTCATCAGGTGAGCGACCTGCAGCTGCTCCAAGGTTCTTTCCACAGGATAAGAGCAGGATGATGGGCTAATCACTTCACCCTTGCGAAGGGAAACTGCGACGGCATCACGAGAAGATATGTTGGGAGATGTGACTGTATGAGGGATGACATGAGAGCCAGACAGACCCAGGGAGCCGACGGATGGAGCAAAGCCAGATTGGGAACAAGGAGAAGTAGTCTCGGGCATGGGTTTGGGCGAAAACGAAGATGCCAGGGTGGACTGTGGAGAGCAGAGGGATACCAGCGCAAGATGAGACAATGTCCCAGGTGCCTCAAGAGGCGTAGCACTCAAATGCCTCTTGACATTCGAGTCCATCTCCCCGGGAAATGAAAAGGTGGAGGATCCTGGACCAATGCGAGTTCTTGGATTCACTTCATCTTCAGCAGCAGCAGAGCTCGGCCGGGAGAGCACCGGCGGAGCGGTCATGCAGGGAGGAATCATGATCGTTCGCCGATCCCTGTCAGCTTTTCTCCGATGTGATTCACAGTGGGCTTGCTGAGACTGTTGAGATGGTTCCGTCTTCATGTTATTCGTCGTCCGGGAAATCCGAGGATCTCGAGAGGTGTTTGGAGAAGGAGAAGGATGAAGGAGAGGAGGCGATAGACTGCGGGTCCAATGCTTCGGATTGAACTTAATACCGGTGCGGAGGGTTCCGTGCGTGATATGATGAGGTAAGAGGGCTTGCGGAACCCGACGTTCTCCCTTTACATCTCCGGCTGCGTACGAACCCTGGATCCGGCGCGCGTGGTCTGCCTCGTCGTCGCTAGAATCACTCCCGCTGTAATCACTTCCTCCGCGGCTTGTGAAGCCAGTTGTCGGCGGAGGAGCCGCGCAGGCGAACATGCTCAGCGCTGCTCCGCGCAGACCTTGGTTCCGCGAATGCCGTTTCCTTCCTTGCGAAATTCCCCTGTTTTTGGCTCCCCCGCGTGCCATTCGTCGCGGTTGAGCGTAATAGTCATGCATTTTCGCAAAATCGGAGCCCGTTTCTCCGTTCATGGTGGCAAACGATCCTAACGAGGGGGTTATCACTCGAGCACGTTTGAAAAGAGCCTCTGAGAGGCGTGTCTGTCAAAATAATTTTGTACGATCGCGCGAAGTGCGCTGGGAGGCTATGGCAGTACAGCTGACTTCAGTATCCTCCAAGCACAGCCATGGCCGACAATTAGCTTTTATTGCTGCTGCTCCTGCTGAAAGGTCCTGCGAGTGGTCCTAATTCTACTTTGGTTCTGCTTTGTTAGAGAATCGCATCGCAGAGTTGTGCAGAGAATTATCGTGACAAGCTCCACCGAGCCACATTCATTGGTCCCAAAACAAACCGCCGAACCTCGGCTTACATCCATGAGCACCTCGAGCTTGGCTGGAGCGGAGAGGTTCGGAAAGAAGCTGGGGCTAAACCAAGACGTGGTTCCCTGGCACCAAGCCTCAAAACGGTTTGGCGAGACAGAAACGAACCGCGATAGTTGTGATGTGAGCCTCTGACAGGCATCGCTTCAGGCTCGGACGGACTGAAAGCTCGGCCTGTCATCGTCATCACTCGGCTCGGCTCGGCCAGGACGCAAGAGGGACCAGGGCTGCCTCCGGATATGGCAGTGCTTGCAATGAGATGTAACCGCAGATGTGCTGCTGAAACGGTCATAGCAATTGTCTGTTTCAGCTGTCAGCTGTATTGTACAGCACACCTGACCAGTCTCAGGCCGCATTCTCAAGTTTGCCCACCATCAGAAGTCTGCCCACGCGGCTCGAAATGTTGGTTTTGGAATTAATTCACGTTTCAATGTTTGCCCACGCGGTCCGACTTCAGTTCAACTGGCCACTGTCTCATTTCTCTGCCTGCACGTCAATGTGCGACTTCATAGATTGGTGGTTTGGGGGGTTGTGCTTTCGGAGAGTCTAGTTACGTGCTACTTGCTGTTGGGAAATCTTGACTTGCGCGACCTTGAGGCATGGCCGTTAGGTTATTGCCTGACGATATTTATTGCACCTTCTTCGTGCGATTTTACGATAAGATTTTATTGGTGGCGAAACCGATTCGGTTGGACACCTGTCATGCGATCCGACCGACCTCTGTCGCCTGCCAAAAGTAGGTTTGGTGGCCAAAGTGGGGCCCTGCTCCACCTGTGTTGGGCTGAGAAATGGCCCTTAGGATCTTTGCAGGGGTGAACTCTGGGTACAACTGATGTAGTAGCGGAAGCGTTTAATGAAGAGTTGTGAACCACCTTGCGCTAGTATGTGAGGGCAAAGTTGATCAATTAAAGCAGAGAGATACAAGATTATATAAGAGTACAAGGAATACGAAGAGATACGGTTCCAACTGTTTTACTGTTGTTGTTGCGGTTCGATACACTGACGACTCGGGCAACTGCTCTGTAACGAATCAGTTGTGTGTCCTTGCTGTCGTGCTGTACTTGTCACGTCAAAGGTCGCTGACCTTTGACTTTCGCGTAACCTCCAGCAACTGCTCAACCTCCGAGGGTTGACTCGCCAGTGCTTCGATATGCTTCGCTTTGCTTCTGACTTGGTGTTTCGACACGACAGAGGCGCTTAGAGTTAATTGTTTCCAACACTCCCCTTCGCTTCTGGAGTGTCGCTCCTGGTGACGTGGCTCTGTCCAGTCAGCAGCATGCAGTACTCGAACTTTTGCTTTCCGAGCTTCTTGGTCAAGTAGTCAGCTGCCATCTCGGACGTGGGGCAGTATGACAGTTCGAGTCTCCCCTTCTCGATCTCGTCCTTCACGAAGAAGTATCGCAGGGCGATGTGTTTCGTCCTATTTGCGAAGCGGTTCTTGTTGGCTATGCGAATGGTCGACTGGTTGTCGCAGAACAACGTAAAGTTTGGTAACTAGGCTAGCTTGGCTTCCTCCAGGAGTTCGCGAAGGTACAGTCCTTCTTTGGTGGCTGAGCAAAGTGCAATATATTCTGCTTCAGCTGAAGAGAGGGCGATTAATTCATGTTTGCTCGACTGCCAGGAGATAGGACCGATAGGCTCGAAGCGGTAGATGTAGCCGGTGCGGGAGCGCCTGTTGTCGGAGTCGCCGGCGTGATCGGCGTCGACGTACCCGATTAGCTTAGGCGTTATAGTTGTGTTCTTATGGTA